ACATCATGTGGAAGAGCCCCCCCCTTATTTCATTGGGAGTCATCTATGTCCTGTTGCAAGACCTAGATCCAGGGATCTGTAGGATCGGTGCTTGCAGCCCGGTTGCTTCCCTGGGTTCTCCCCTTTCTTCCTCCGTAAGGGGGGGGGGGGGGGCTAGGGCGGTTCGGGCACTCTCGTTTCCAATGCCCCAATTGTTTACAATAATTACACGTATCATTGGGGCCAGGTTCCCTTGGGGTATTAGGCCTCCCTAGGTACCCCCTATAACCTCCCCTTCCTCTTCCTTTCGGCTGGAACTGGGAACTGAGAGCAGCAGCCAAGAATTTGGCTTCTTGTTTCATTTTTAGCTTTTCAGCTTTTTGAATTTCAGGTCTTCAATCAAAGGCATGGTTAGCTAAATCTACCAATTGTTGCATTGTTTTCGTGTTACAATGAGGGTTATATTTGACTATGTATTTTTTTAATATCTGATGCGCAACCCCCTACAAAGGTGGATGCTACAATGGTTTGATTTTGCGGAGCCTGTGCATCGAAACTTCCTCCATGGGTTGCAATGGCTTTCAGCAGCCTGCTGTAGAAATCTTGCGGATGCTCGTTCGGACCTTGGACCACAGAAGTTACCTTGGTCCAGTCAATAGTTTTGCGTCCTGCCCTGTTCATTCCTTCTAACAAGGTCTGTCTAGCCAATTGTAATCTGTCTCTTTCATGATTATCTCCATTTATTTCCCAATTTGGGTTAACCAGCGGCCAAGGCGGGACTCGTCCTGTTGGTTCTTCCTGTTGCCATTGGTTCCCCTGATTTATTATATCTAATTTCTCGGCAGAGGTTAACAGCGTATCTAAGAGTTGATTCATGTCTACCCATGTGGGGTTGTGTGTGGAAATGATAGTCTGTATCTTCCGTCGAACGGCCTCCGGGTCATCGCGAAACTTCGGTGTTCCCTGTTGCCATGCCTGAAGATCTTGGGGATTAAAGGGAATATGGGTATATGGATACTGGATCCC